AGCTAAATCCATAAAATGAGTCTCGTACTAAGTAACAGTCATGATGCCCTGTTATAGGCGCTCAAATTGCCTGCGGTAATCCTCTCTCAATGTGATAGGGAGAAGCTTCTCTAGAAATAGCCGTGAGAACAACTCCCAAGTCATTGCAGGCGACCCATCTGGTCTGGTCAACATATAATCTCTCCACCACCTCTTGGCGGATCTCGTCATCTGGAATACAGTAAAATCGACCCCATTGGTCTCAACTATGCCCATGTTCCGCAATACCTCATGGTAGCGATCAAGATAATCCTATGGGTACTCAGAAGGTGTACCACTGAAGTGAACTGGAAAGAGCTTAGTAAACTTATACAGTCTCAATAAAGCCTCAAAAGAGATGGCATGCCTATCACCGGCCTGTGCCACAACAACTAGCTAAACTAACCCAACTGGAGGGGCTGTTGGAGCCTAATACTGGGGAGCTATCTGCTCCGGAGCGGGATTAGTGGGAGTTTGTGCTCCTCCCCCAGCCTGTGAGATGGCTGGTGCCACTGGAAATGTACCATTCTGGGCCACGCCCTTCATAAGACTTACCAAATGGACTAGAGTGTCCTGAAGCACTAGAGTAGCTATGAATCCTTCCGGAACCTGAACTGGTCCAACCGGTACAGTCCGAACTGGAACCTCCTCCTAAAGATCCACCTAAGGTTCTACAACAGGTGCTGCTGCTCGAGCTCTAGACTAAGTTTTACCTCTACCTCTACCTCAGCCTCTGGCACGACCTCTACCCCTGGTCATAGTTGCCACCGGGGGGCTCTAGTCCATGTCCATCGGTAGATGTATTATGTGTTCTCACCATCTGTGAGAGAATAAAAATAGAATGATTCAATCATCGATGATGGAATAAAATTGCACGACATAGTAACAAAGAAGTGATATTGTTCCTAAACTTCAAAGCCTCTGAAAGATAAGTACAAATGTTTCCGTACTGAGCCTTCAGACACTACTAAGCTTGCTCGTGACTCGTGAGACCTAGTAACACCAACGTTAAAATAATCTAACCATTTTTAAAAAAATCATATTAAACGGAAGTTGATTACTGAAATAAAGTGTTGAAGACCATAACAACCTAATAATCCAAATACATTCCCGAATCTGGTGTCACAAGTGCACTAGCTACTTGAATAACACAAATAAAAATTTGAATAAAATTCAAGCTGTTTGAAAGATAATTCACAACTAAGATAAGATAGAAGGGGACTTCAGAACTGCGGACGATGTGCAGTTATACCTCAAGTATCCTATGTGTAGCTGAATCTGAGCAAGTCTATGGTACGCCGCTGGGACCAACTCCAAAATCTGCACAAGAAGTGTAGAGTATAGTATGAGTACAACTGACCCCATATGCTCCGTAAGTGTCGAGCCTAACCTCGACGAAATAATGATGAGGCTATGACAAGACACGTAAGTAAACAACCTGTACAAGTATATACAAATACGAAGCAACAATAACACAATAAATAACAATTTATAAATTTGGGAGGGAATATGCGAATGGGAATGATATAGAAATTTCAGCAGGAGAAGTGTCACTTAGCAGCGAATTAATTCATCAACAATAAAATGAGCAACTGATAATATACGACACCACCCTTCGATATTTTACTCTCATTCTTTCCATAAATTGATAAATAAATAATAAGATTGGCACGACATCACCCTTCGTGCTTTAACTCTCTTCTGGCACGGCATCACCCTTCGTGCTTTAACTCTCTTCTGGCACGACATCACCCTTCGTGCTTTAACTCTCTTCTGGCAGCATCACCCTTCGTACTTTTACACTATTTGAAAATGGCACGATATCACCCTTCGTGCTTTAAATCTCTTCCTCATTTCATATTTTAATAAATAATAATGTTAAATTGGCACGGCATCACCCTTCGTGCTTATACACTCTTTCTTACCATTAAAATAATAATATAAATTCGGAAGAGTATTAAAATGCGGGGATATAATTAATTCAATGCCAGAATACTGACCTCTCCTTCTAAAATATTCAACAATAATTTTATGAAAAATGATCAAATAAATAATAATAACTTAAGCAGGAATATCTTAATTAAATAGGTAATTATTCACAATAAACAAATTCTATATGCATGCTTTGACTCAACCACAACGCATAAGTATTCGTCACCTCACATATACATTGTACCCGTACATTAAATCACGTAGCAAATAGACAAATAAGTCCTACTCTCTCAAGTCAATGTTAACCACGACATTTACCTCGATTTGAAACCAACTCAAGATTCCAATACACCTTTGCCTCGTGAATTCGTGTCTGAAAGCTTTAAATCTAGTCACAAATAATTCAATATACTCAATACGAATCGTAGAAATTAATTGCATATGATTTTACTAATTTTCCGTATTAAAATCCGAAATTCACTTTAAAAATTGATAGTGGGACCCACGTCTCAAATTTTGAAAAAAACGAAATCCGAATACCCGTTTCGATACGAGTTCAACCACACAAAAATTATTGAATTCCGACATCGAATTGCCTTTCAAATCCCCAGTTAAAGTCTTTGAAGATTTCTATCATTTTCAACCCAATATTTACCCATTTGAATTCAACAATCTTCCCAAAAACCTTATTAGTACAAGCATGCAGAACTAATACTATCACATCCAAGAATCATCTTACTAATTACCTATTTCTAGTTAGATTTCGAAATTGAGGAATTGGGGAAAGAAATTCTTATCTCTTTGAAGCCTTAGTAACCCTTTGATGCGATTTCAAGGTTTGATTCAAGGAAGAGTAGTTAAATCTTTAGTTATCCCCTTTCCTCTCACTAGAATCGCTCCCCCTTCTCTGTAAAATACCAAAAATTGCCCCAAAAATAAACCCCAATCAAGTTAAATGAAATGGGGGTTGGGTCATAAAAACCCACTTTTGTACAGCCGTGGCGCATGATGCGCCGCGGGGCACGGGGAGGCTGTGCAAAAAGTGCATGGAAATGAAATTTTGGAACGTTCTGGAAATTCCCACAGGCACGGCGCGTGGGGCGGTGTGGTAGTACAAATGCTGCTAGCGTTTGGTAATTTGGTCATAAATTCTTGTAGGAATATTCAAATGACGAACGGTTTAAAGAGTTAGAAACTAGACTCGAAGATATTCCATTTGATAGGTTGTCCATCACATAAATCCTTTTATTTACGTAGATATGCTCGTCCAAATTTGGGTCTTGTGCATACTCATTTGGAACTTTAGTCTATTATGTAAAGTTTCAACTTGACTTTGGCTTAGGCCTCTCCTTAGACCCCACATCACTTATAATATGTCTCGTACACTTATTATCATATCCAATTGATATCCATCATATTAATAGTCCTCGAATAAGAAGTAGAGTCTGCCCCCAAACACATAACATAACTTATCTCTTCTTTCGCACCTTTCAATTTCCCGAATTTTACTAACTCCCAAAATCTCCAAATATTTTGCCAAAGTTTCCTTTGTAAATGGGCCTATCCACATGTGCGAGAATCCCAGAAACCAATTCTAACAACACATACATAATCCAATCAACGTTTTTGCTCGGTGAATTACAAATGAGTGACCCCTTTTATATACTAGTCTCTTAGGGGCAAGGGTGTAAATATTAATTGTTACACAAATACTTAATATTTAAAAGATAAAGGCTTTCTCTAAAATTATATACAAGCCTAGAAGATTCCAAGGACTTTCCTAGCAAATCCATAGGGATCTAGGGTCTTCCAAAGGAAATGTCCATACTTCTCTAGAATATTCTCACAAATGTTATCCTTCCTCCTATGTAAGCTTCAACATGGCATTAATATATGCCAAATGGCGCCTATGTATCATGATAACATGGAGGGTCATCACACTCTCCCCCACCTAATATTGCAACAACCGCGGCATAATGTTGCTACATAAACTCTCGGATCTTATCTTTGAATTGCCATTAGTCTTCATATCATTCCCACGTGGCCTCCTCCGGAGATTGCCCCTTCCAATGGACGAGGAACATTGCAGTGGCTTTCTTCCCTTGTTTTTACCTAGCATGGTAATCAATAATAGCCTCAATTTCCCGGTCATGTGAAGCGGTGATAGTAATAGGCTCTCGACTTAATTGGCTCCTACTCGGATCATCCTTGTCTTCATGATATGGTTTAAGCATTCTAACATGAAATACGGGATAAATCTTAAGATACGATGGCATGTCAAGCTTGTATGAGATCTTGCCTACCTTGGAGACGATCTTAAATGGCCCCTCATACTTGCGAATGTGATTCTGATGTATGCCCCGTAGTTCTTTGAACTGTCTTGGTTTAAAATTCACCATGACCATATCCCCAACTCTATAGTCCGTGGGCCGCCACTTACGGTCCCGCAAACTTTTTCATCTTCTTAGATGCCTTATCCAATTAGGACTTAGCAGTGCCAAGATGTTCCTCCCATCTTTTGGCCATATGATAAGCCCCCAAACTCTTTCCATCAAACGTGGATGGTAATGAATGTAGAGTTTGTGGTTGTTGGCATGTGTTTAGCTCAAATGGTGTCCACCCCGTGGACTCACTCCGCTGCAAGTTATAATATAATTAGGCGATGTCTAGGAGCCTTGCCCAATCTCTCTGATGCGCGTGCTTACATAATGCCTCAAGTAGCATTCTAGTAAGGCATTGGTCCGTTCCGTTCGTGCATCCGTCTGTAGGTGGAAACTAGTGGAAAAGTGTAGTTCCGTGCCAAGTATGTCAAATAGCTCTCTCCAAAAGTTTCCAGTAAAATGGGGGTCTCGATCATTGATAATATGCCTTGGTAAGACCCAATACTTCACCATATTCTTAAAGAATAGCTTGGCAGCTTCCTTGGCAGTGCAACATGGTGAGGCGGGCATGAATATGTCATATTTGGAAAATCTATCCATGACTACCATAATAGTACCATAACCGTTGGACTTCAGTAGGCAAGTGCTAAAGTCCATAGTCATGCTCTCCTATGGAGGCTCTACAACTGGTAGTGGCTCCAAAAGTCCTCTAGGTTGTTGTTGCTCAACCTTGTCCTGTTGACAGACAAGACAAGTCTGCACATAACACTCTATGCCATCTCGCATGCATGGCTAATAGTAGACTGACTCAACCAAGGCCCTAGTGCGACGTTGGACCAGATGACCAGCCCACATTGTGTCTTGAATCTCCCTTATGATCCGCCGTCTAATATCCCCAAACTTAGGCACGTAGAACCGCTGACCTGTGGTAAGCAGTAGGCCGTCTTTGACCCAAAAATGTCTCGTATTGCCCTGGTTAGCTAACTGATAAGTTGTTTGGCTGTTGGATCATGATGCATTCCTTATTTTATAACCTCACAAATGTACCATCTTGTTGAAGTGATTGCACCAAGCTCGGCTACAACGCTACCTTTGCACGGCTTATACTCCAGCACACAATAAAATTCAGCCAAGAAATCCTGCCACCTAGTCTGTTTTGGTGTGAGTTTCTTCTGCATCTGAAAGTATCTAGTAGCTACATTGTCGGTCTTCACCACGAACCTCGACCCGAGAAAATAATATCGCCATGTACGAAGGAAATGCACAATGTCAGTCATCTCCTTCTATTGCATCGTGTAACGTTGCTCCATCTCATTTAACTTGCGGCTTTCAAATTCTATGGGATGCTTATCCTACATAAAGACACCCCCAATGGAAAAGTCAGAGGCATCTGTGTGCACCTCAAATGTCTTGGCAAAGTCAGGTAGCAACAAGACTGACTCCTATATTATAGCTGCCTTATGGCCTTCAAACGCCTTTTGACAATGCTCCGTCCAAACCCATGGCTTGTTCTTCTTTAGCAACCCAGTCAATGGTCTGACCTTTGCTGAGTAGCCACTGATGAACATACAAAAGTAGTTAACAAGGCCAAGTAAGGATCTCAACTCAGTTACCTTTATAGGTGCCTCCCACTCATGGATAACACGTTCCTTAGCCACGTCCATGCGTAGCTCGCCATTGCTAATGACATGGCCTAAACAGTTCACCTTTGATTATGCAAACTCATATTTCTCCCTATTGATGCATAGCTCGTTCACCTACAAAACTCGGAAAGCCTTCCTTAATTGCTCCATGTGCTCCTCCAAGGTGTTGCTGTAGATGACTATGTCGTCTAGGTTAGACTACCACAAACTGATCAAGGTAGGGATGAAAAATCTTTTTCATAAGGGTGAAAAATGTGGCTGGTGCATTGGTTAAGCCGAAGGGCATCACCAACTACTCAAAGGCTCCATATCTCGTCACACATGTTGTCTTCGGCTCATCCCCTTCTGCAATGCGAACCTGGTAGTAGCCCTTGCGAAGATCCACCTTGGTAAAGTACTTGGCTTGCCCAAGTCTATCGAACAAGTCAACAATGAGCGGGATCAGGTACTTATTCTTCACTGTGACCTTATTACGTGCTCGATAGTCTATGCATAAGCGCAACGATCTATCCTTCTTCTTTTGGAACAATACCGGTGCACCAAAAGATGCCTTTGATGGGAGAATGTGACCAACATTTAGCAGCTCTTTCAATTGTTTCGTGAGCTCCTCTAGCTCGGGTGGTTCCATATGATATGGGACAAATGCGGGTGGATTAGCCCCTGGCTCTAAGTCAATCTTGTGATCCACCTCTCACCTAGGAGGCAAGTGCTTAGGCAAATCCTTGGGCATGGCATCTTTGTTTTCCTCAAGCAACATCTCTATGCAAGGTGACAATGTCTCTTGAAAACTTTTGTCTTCCTCCTGACTTGCGATGGTTGCCACGAATGTCGACTCCCCCTTCTTGATCCCCTTGACAACCTGCATAGCTGGAAGTTGTGCTTGGCTCTGTCCGTGTGGCATAGTCACTGTAGGTACCATGCAAGATCCTTCTCGCTCCATAACCAAGAGATGTTGGAGGTAGGGGTCGATCAAAGTATGACAATGTCTAAAGAACTCTTGCCCTAATACGGGGCCCATTGTCACGTTATCACATCCTTAGTAGTTAACTAAGTACACGTGCGACACTTGATAACTCGCTCACGATCTTGCACAACTTGCTCACATTCTTGCGATGCCTAGTCAGCCTTACTACACTCAAGATCGCTAAGAGAATGGTAGAAAGAACACAAGAGAATTGTTAAAGGAAGCTTTGTATTGGAGAGAACTTGAATTGTTTGCTTGGTGAGTTACAAATGAATGGCCCCCTTTATATACTAGTCTCCTAAGGAATAGTGTGTAAATATTAATTGTTACACAAGTCCTTAATATTTACAAGATAAGGGCTTTCTCTAGAGCTCTCTACAAGCCTAGAAGACTCCAAGGACTTTCCTAGCAAATCCATAGGGATCTAGGATCTTCCAAAGGAAATGTCCATACTTCTCTAGAATCTTCTCACAAATGTTATCCTTCCTCCTATGTAAGCTTCCACATGGCATTAATATATTCCAAATGGTACCTATGTGGAATGATGACATGGAGGGTCATCACACTCTCCCCACCTATGTGGCACGATGACATGGAAGATCTATAAGAGAGTCTTAATATCATTAAGATGTTATACATTCAAGAATTTAGGTAAAATTGATATTTCATTATTACTCCTACACTTTTATCATTATTCACCATTACCGCTGCTATCGTTGTTCCCCACCATTATAGACTACCGCCACCTACTACCCACAATTCATTCTCACCATCCTCGGCCACAACCACCACCACTGCCAAGCACGAATATCAGGGGTCACTACCACTAGCCATCATTTACAACCATCACCCCAACCAACATTACCGCAACAATCACCAATCATCACTATCAACTACCAGTATATATCACCCATATCTATTATCAATCACCATCACTATCAACTACCATCGTTAACTACTACTGTCATCCACCAGCTACTACCCATAATCACCACTATCTTCCAATACCACTATCAACCAATACTAGTTGACACCCACGATGACCACCGTTAGCCATCATCACCACCAACTACCATATAATTTTTGAAAAATATTTATTAATATAGTATTAGATTAACTAGTACTATTTGATTTGAATATAAGCTTATTAATTTTTATATAAAGAGAAGTTTTACACATTCAGATGTAGAGAAAACAAACAATCTTAATTATTCAGTATTCAAATAATACAACATCTTATTATTCAGATCATTCAGATTCAGACGTTTTAATCTTAATACACAAATTAATATTCAGACTTGTATTCAGATTCAAACGTCTTAATCTTAATAAAAACAAATGATGCCTTAGTATTTGATAGCGTTTAGTCGGTGTCGCGACCCCAATTTCCATCCGTTGGGTGTCGTGATGGCACCTAGTCTCTAAGACTAGGTAAGTCTATCAATTATGCGGAATAACGGAATCTAAAACTGAAACTCAAATTTCAACATATGAAATGAATAAAAACAGAAATTCAAAATAATTATAACTCCTAAAACTCGGTAGAAATAAGTCACAAGCTTCTAAGAGAAATACTAAGTATCTGTATACATCAGAGTCTAAAGAGAATAAGGAAAACACCATAATAAGGATAGAGGGGGACCGAGGTCTGCGGAGCTGGCAGATGTACCTTGAAGTCTCCGCGTACAGACTAGCTTACTGATATCTAGTCTGGTAGGAAGTACCTGGATCTGCACAAGAAGATGTGCAGAAGCATAGTATGAATACACCATAACGATACCCAGTAAGCGTAGTATGAGTCAAGGTCAGTGGATGCCAAGCGACTACCTTGATAGTCTCCAACTCATAACACTCTGAGATCCAACAGTCACCGTATCAGGAAGCACCTGGATCTGCAGATGAGGTGCAGGGTGTAGTATGAGTACAACCAACTCAGCAAGTAACAATGCTAAATAAAGAACTAAAAGTAGTGACGAGCGTCACAGCTAAGTCCAATTACAGTACTTTCCAACATAAGAAGGTAGGCATGCTTTCAAGTTCAACGTTTAAGGCCCAAACAGTAATTTCATGTCAAGTTCAACTAAAACATAGATAATATCTTCAGAAATTTCCAAAACAGTGATATATGATAACTGTAGTACAACAATAATGAAATCAATGCATCCTCTAATAGCATCAGTCACTTAGTCCTTCCACTTGTTCAGCACTCGGGACTCGCACTCTGTAGATCCCTACGCTCACTTGGGGTGTGTACAGACTCCAGAGGGTTCTTTCAGTCCAAGCGCTATAATCTGCACGGACAATCACGTGCTACACGAATAACTAACGTGTCATAGTATGATATTTGGATCCGCACGGATAACTCACGTGCTGTACGGACAACTCACGTGCCATAGTATAATATCTGGATCCACACAGACAACTCACGTGCTGCACTGACAACTCATGTGCTGCATTGACAACTCACGTGCTATAGCATAATATCTTACAATCAGGCCCTTAACCTCACTCAGTCATAAATCTCTCCAGTCTCTCGGGCTCTCAGTAATCATGAAAATCATCCCCAACAGAAATAATATAATGTATCAACAAGGAACAATAGAGGTTGAGATATAATAAACAAGTAAACTGTGACTGAGCACAAAACAATAATTTAGCAGATAACACAACATGTACACGACCTCTGTGGGCCTATACAGTGCCAACTCATAATCTGAACATGATTTATGATTGAATTTCTCTACTACATGGAAAATGTACAGATAACAACAGATTATTCAATTACACAGTTCCATTGAATTTGACCAAGTCACAGTTCCATTGAATTTGACCAAGTCAAATTCACAGTTCCAAGTCACAGTTCCTATGTTGCACGCCTACACGCCCGTCACCTTGCATGTGGTACACCTCAAAACCGATCACATAACACATAATCCGGGGTTGCATACCCTCAGAACCAAATTTAGAACTGTTACTTACCACAAACCGTGTAATTCTTTATTCTGCAATGCCTTTGCCTCGCGAATCGGCATCCAAACGCCTCGAATCTAGTCACAAATAAATCGATTCAGTCAATACAAATTATAGGAATTAATTCCATATGAAAATTCTAATTTTCCAACAAAATCTGAAATTTCACCCAAATATCGCCCGTGAGGCCCATGTCTCGGAACCCGAAAAAGGTTACAAAATATGAACCCCCAATTAACCACGAGTCCAACCATACCAAAATTACTAAATTCCGATAACAATTCGGCCCTCAAATCCTCAAATTAATCCAAGAGGGTTTTCAAAAAGTATCAACTTAAATCACTAATTAAATGTTAAAAACAACCTTAAATTCGGGTAATTTAAGCAAAATTGATTTAAGAAAACTTACCCCGTTGTTTCTTTTGAAAATCTCCCAAAATTCGCCTCTCCCCGAGCTCCAAATCGCTAAAATCCATTTTTAGAACTTAAACTTTATGTCCAGTCATTTCTTCTATGCGATCGCGGATGAAGTCCCGCGATCGCGAAGCACAAAATAAACTTCCCCCAAAATTCCTCTACGCGACCGCACAATGCCACCCACGAATGTGGAACACAAGCTTCCCAGGCCTACGCGATCACGTATAGGCAACACGTTTACATAGAACAACGTCCGCGAACACCAACTGCCTCATCTCCTCTT